CCTCATTCACCCTCTCTCTCTCCATCTCCTCCCTTCTATATTCCCTTCATCCAGCTATCCATCCACCCAGGCCGCCATTCATCAAAGTGAGAAGGGGACAGAGGGAGACTTGACTTTGACTTTGATCCGTTTTGCTCAGCAGTTAAGGGCTTCAACACACACACACACACACATATATATGTACATGGACACACACACAAAAGAATGATCCAGCTCAAGAGAGAGCAATAGTTCAAGTTGCTCTCAGAAGCTGGAGGGTTGCAGGTTGAAGCCCCCCCATCGGCGCACAGGCCTCCGAGTGAACTCCAAAGCATTGCAATGTGTGGCACTTTGTTCATTAAAAAAGATAAAACAAACAGAGGCGGCTGTTTGATCTCTCATCGTTCCCCGTGTCTGTCTCTGCATCTCTCAATACATCACTCCCTGAAGCTATGAAAAAAAGTTTGAAAAAATCTGAAAAAGAAGCTCTGTCTCTCCTTGGTGTTGTCTGCACATTCACTGCAGAGGATGACTGACAGGCACAAGGAAAAAGAAGAACTAGATGAACTTCAACCCACACATACGCACAGTAGGAAGCAGTACACACAGTGAACAGTACGTGGGCTTGACTGTTTGCACTCTCACTTTTTTCATTTCATCCATGCCACTCATTCACTTTTTAAATTTTTTTTTACTTGATTTGTCTCAGAATCCAAACTTGATGAACTGGACTTTCACATGATAATCAAAAGACATTTACTTATTTTTCTTTCTTTCTAGTCAATAAAGTAGTAGACTATCCAGCACAACGGGCCTCACTCACTAACATGTGCGAAGAAATGTTCTCACACTGCGTATAAAATAAGTTCATACGCAAAATAACGTACCAGCCAATTTTGTTTTTACCACCATGCGTATGATAGTGAATCAGAATCATTCTAAATCATCAGGCTCGTGCCCGCAACCTGCAGTCAGCATATTACCACGCCCCCATCTCTCCAGGACATCCGATTGGTGTATCAGGATGAGAGCGGTGAGGTGGAGACACGTAGAGGTTTTTAGGAGACGGCCCCAAGAAGTAAAAAAAAGCGGTGTGTCTGCTGTTACAGTTAAAGGGATACTTCAGTAAGCATTTCTGCCCCCCCAAAGTTGTTGCCAAGTAGCCATATATCTTTCTGTTTTCAAACTGAACACATAGTTGACTGTCTTATCATAGATGCTATTAAAGTTGCATTATGGGATACATACTTCTTTTACTTTTTGATTTGTTCGGCTTTTTATGTCTCGGATAGAGTCAGAAATTGGGGAAATGCGGGCCGGATTCAAACCTGGGCCACCTGTCTAAAGGACCAAGCCTTCAAACATGTGGGCATGTGCACCAACCAATATGCTACAGGCGCTCAACTTTAAAAAAACATACAAAAAAAACCTACTAGGTACTAGTCCCCCACTTTTCAAACATGCTCAAGTCCCTTGCAAATGTCTATGTATGAGATTAACCATAACCTGCATGTATACAATATAACACATCATGCAGATTAAACCTGTTCATTACATCCTCATGATGAGCATGTGAATCATAAGGATGAGAAATAGCACCGAATAGCCTAAGTATGTGAAAGCATTTAATTTGAAATATAACCCACAAACACAATATAGACAGTTTAGAATGTTACTTGGTTTAGTGAGAAACAAAGCGACATTTAGGACAGCGATGCTATTTTTAGAACGTGGATGAACAATGTTGAAGAATCCATAAGATTCATGAAAACACACTAACACACTCTCATACATATATCCGTTTCTCAAGCCCATGAGCCATGTTTTTTAATGCTGTGAAAATCTTCCTCTAGCTATGATCATATCACAGCAAGCACCTTTTATCTTTATATATAATGTGAGAACTGTTAAGGTCAGAGCTTATTTTACACCTGCCTGAGGTATAGTTATAAATGTCCACCACACTCACACACATCAACACTTACACATACACACTGCCTGTATTTCATTTTCTATATCTGCTTTGGTTAATCCACTTGGTTTTGGAGAACAGAGTGTCAAGGTTGAAGAGATACAAAGCTTATAGATTAAGCTATAATTAACATGCTTCACATAGCATGATAGACGGACTGATAGATTTTGGACCGCTGCTTCATTAGCCCACCTTCTATCTTTCCTGCTTTTTCTCCCCTCCCTCAATTCTCCCTCCTTCTTTTTCCAGCTGAGTTCAGCAGTCAGCCACATCCCAGAGGGATATATCGGGGTTAGAAGTGTAGATCTAACAGCCCGCTGAAGAGAGGAAAAGGAAAAGCAGGCTTGGGAAAAGAGAATGAGAGAGGGAGAGAGAGAGAGAGAGGGGGGGGGGGGGGATAGGGGAGAGGAGATCAGCAGCAGAGTCTCAGGGGGTAAAGAGGTTAGAGGTGGAATCCTGACAGAGAAAGTCTGTATGAAGATGACAAGCTACCATATCCTCGCCTGGGAGCGTTAGAAGAGGAGGTACAGTAAGAGATGCTGAGGAATAAAAAAAAGAAGGATATGTAATATATGATTAGCTTTACGGGCTAAATCAAGAGCATCAAGACTGCATCAGATTACTAATTCTTAAGGGACTGTCTGAATTCGGTCAAATTCTTTTCCATTGCAGCTACAAGCAACACCTGGTTGCATTGACGGGCTCAAACTTGGCCAGCCTGGTTTCAACTGAACAACCACACTAAGTAAAAACATGATAGCCTGGTGTCCACCACAGGACACACCAGAGCTAATCCAATTAAAATAGCAAACTCACACAGAACAAACCACTCCGGTGACCGCTACAGTAGCCAACAAAGTCAAATGTAGCCAAACAGCTCGCTTGAATTTCACCAGAATTTAATTACAAAAAAGCTAGGTAGCCATGTAACCAGAAGCCTTGAACTCTGCTTTGATTTAGCCAACTTACCTAAACAACTCATGATTCAAATCCTGCAGGACAAGAGTCTGGTTTCTGCTGCCCCTACATAGAGGCACTTCATAACAAAATGTCTATTTTGGGAGGGCACTGGTAGCTTCCCTCGCTTAGTGTATACCCTCTATGAGTCCCTACAGAAAGCAGCAGCCTTGGGTTCATTTCAGCCCCAGGCACTTTGCTACATATCATCCCATGCCTTTCTTGTCTCGCTCTCTCCTGTCACTATGTAAAATGTAGCAAAAAATGCCAAAACTCTGTTTGGAGAAGTTTGGTCCCAAGAGGTGAAAACTTTTATTAGAAGCCTGCGGTGCAGAGTTATTAAAGAAATAAGTCAACATTCGGGGAATGATGCTACTCCTTCTTTCCTGCTGCAGGTTTTACTGATAGCACTTAGATGTATGAGATAAGCTTAGATTTGCATAAAGACTGAAAATAGGGAGCAGCAGATAACCTGGCTCTATCTATAGGTTATGACATCATCTGCATAGAAGGCATGCACCAGAGTATCAATTGAACAGTGTCAGCTGATCGTGCCCCCTTTGACAGACATTGGCCTACCTGCAAATACGGCAGAATGCTCCTACAGTATGTCAGTAGCCAATGAGGATCTGTTGTATTGCTAGTATACCTAGCTGCTGATTCAGAGGAGGTGTTTCCTTTTAGGCAGAGGAAGTCACCTGTTGGAAAAACTCTGATTTGTTTTCAGGGTCACACATGAATGAAAATGTGGGGAGTGTAGGAATATTACACTGTCTCATGCAGTTTGTAAGAGATGCACTAGTGGCCTTTAAAAGAGGAGAGACTACTAACAACAATTGAAATACTCCAAACTCACAGCTCATTTGATAAAATGCCACAAAGAATACGACGGAGGAGTAATGAAAGGAAAAACATTGGAACTGGCTATTAGCGGAATTATTATCTTTTTCTTTGGTATAGACCCTGATGACAGCATCACTGAAGTTCCCTCAATTACTGCATACAAGCGCTTATGTGTTGGACCTCATTTTTGGGCTTGATGGGATAACTTCCTTAGAAAAAAATCATTTTCTCATCTCTTTAAATAATCAACCTCAGAGCTTTAAACAGATGAGCTAGTTAAGTAGTTACTTCTGATGTTGAAAAATGAAGCCAACGCAGAAGTGCAAAAAACTGCAGTTTGTGTACGCTCTTGCTTGAGGCTGGCTCCAAAAACCCTGTAAGTCACATAAAAAAATGTCTGTTTTTACAGCAGAAATTAACATGTTTACAACCTGGTACAAAAAAACAAAAGAAGTCTGATTAGTTATTGTCCTCATGGACACACACTGTACAGGGGGGTGGGTGTGATGTAACGGTCAGAAGGCTTAAAGCCCGCATCAGCTCCAGCTCTTGGCCTGTCGTCAAGGGCGCATCCAGATGGGTAAACAGGGGTGGCATGGGCCCCCCTTGAAATCTTATTGGCAACCCCCAAGTGCCACCCCAAAATCCTTGTCTATCATTGGCTAATTGCCTTGCCAGAGGAGGGACTTATGTTGAAATCCAAGATTCAGGCTGTGTTGCAACAGGCAGCTTATAGTTTTTAAGTGTGCAGACGTTACTTTACATTTTTTCTTTAAATGTACATTTTGGTTTGAGTCCTTGAAGAATGAAGCAGAGAAGATACAATATGTCCAAAAAGATGGGTGATGTCACTCAAGCTTTGTCCATTAATATTTACAGTCGATGGAGTTAACATGTGAATACAGCACACTTCAGGCGTGCTGATAGGGTGATTTTGTTACCTTTGAACAAAGCCTGGCATGCTCTTCCCCCCTGCTCAGTGTTTACACCAAGATCAGGTAACTATCTACTGGCAGTAGCTCATAATTAGCGTACTGTTACTCTTATTTTATTACTGTTACTGTTCAGCAACCTGGCACTAGAATGTATTGAATAAAGAGTAGTTAAAGTTGATCATATTTTTAACTTATCTTGTATTATCTGCTGTTGTCTTGACATGTAAAAAAAGAAAGCACAAATGTATATTTCCCAAAAGGACATGCTACTCCTCAGAGCAGGCCCATACTGAAAGACCAGAGGAGGACCTTACCTTTAGAGATGTAAAAGTGGATAACACTCTGCCTCAGGAATCACATGTTACCATGGCTATAACATCATGGATGAGGGTTGAAGTCCAAAATCTTCTTTTCTGGTTTCACTCTCTCTGCAAAAGAAAGAAAGAAATGAAAATGGATGAGTGTTTTGGACTCAAGAGGCAACAGTTCAATGAAGTAACAAATCTTTTGACAGTGTGAATCACTTTTCTGCCTCCACACCATTTACAGTGTATTTGTAGTGACTACAACAGTACTTGGCCTACAGCACAGTAAAGATGTAAAGGGTTCTCCACCATTGACTGGTTTTTCAAAAGGGCTTAATTATCAATAAACTGCTCCGTTGGCCTTTAACTGTGAACTAAAGTGCTTCAACTGTGCACAATTGAACCAAGTGGAAGTGTGCTAAGTCGAAGGCACGTCCTATAGGTTGATCCCCCCCCGCACAGGAAATCTGCCCTCACATGCTGTTTCTACTGGATATCAATGACTTGAACAACCCTGGCCATTGATCCAAACTTATCCCTCTTCCTTCCTTCCGTCATCCCTCTCCCCCTTTCTTTTTTCATCCCCCCGTATTTCTATTTATCCTCTCACGCTTCTCTTCTTTTTATCCCATTTTCCCATTTGGAGTTTTTCTCCTCTCCTCCACCCTATCCATGCTTCACTTCTTCTCTCTGGCTTTTTAGCTTTCCTCCTTCAAAGGGTAGAGGACGCAGCTGAAACAAAGGCTGCTTCTGTATCAGCTGAGGCAGCAGGATGGCGGAAGAGTGAAGGGAAGGGAGAGGTATAAGAAGGGAGGGAGGGAGGGAGGGAGGAAGGGATTAAAAAGTGACATGAAGGAGAGAGAATAGGGTAAAGAGTAAGGTGGAGAGGGGAGGGTGAGAAGGACTTGAGTGGAAAGAGAATTAAGATGGGGACAGGGAACGTAAATGACCCCCTCCCCCCATCTTAATAAAAAAATTTATGACAAATAATACAAATAATTATGAATGTGTCAGAAGGAGATAAAGATGCAGGGGCGAGATGGAGATTGCACAGAATGGTTGTATCAAATATCAGTCGATTCTAACACACACGCAAACACACATACACACACATACACACAAACACATACACACAAATACTAACACACAAAGAGTCACACACAGCCTGTACTAAAATCAGCCTGGAGCAGAAAAACACACATGCACTCCATCTTTTTCTGTGGAGATTATCTTCCACAGATAACTCAACATATATTCAAACAATATTTAGATCGTTACCAATCAGTTTGACCTCAAGTGATTCATTTTTTGTGAAATTCATTTCAATACTGATACAAGCAAGTTGCACCTTTAAACACTGGACTTTTCATACAACATATTGAACTTTAATATTTGTGATGGAAGAAGGAAGAAGTAAATTCATAATCCTGATGTATAAGTCTAAGAGTATGATGAATAAGAGATGTGATTCATTAATTCTGAACTCTCAGTATGACCTGGAAAAAATGAGACGTTTCTTTGTCTGAATAAATGTGCCCGTGACAGCAAAATGTGACCGACTGATTAATATGCAGGACCACGCCCCTCGAACTGAACGAGGCATTTAAATCCACTGGGAGTGAGACACTCATGGATTGAAAAGGCAAATCAAATACTAAATCTTTCAATCAGCATCTCGACGTTGCTTATTAACCCTCTCTTTTTTTATCATGCACTGCAACCAAATATCACTAAATACTGAATGATCTAATTAATGAACTAATAACAGTCTGTTTCCCTCTTCGAACACATGTTTATTTATGAGCTCCTTCAAGATGTTCTACTCTTAAAAAGACAGAAGCACAAGTATCACAGCAAAGTCTCCGAAGTCAGAAACAAGTCCAGATATGTACTGCAACATACCTTTTGTTACCCCTTTTACTTACAGACACAGACATAAGACTTCTTACTCGTGTATATCACTTGCCATTGCTTAAAATAAACTATTTATACGTCTACCCTCGTAAAAAAAAGAGCCTTTGTATCCTTATAAAATATGTATTAAGAGGCTTGTGCCAGTCATCTTCAAACTTTTATTTCAGTGACAATTGCACAGAACGCAGCTGCAGCATTAAATGTTGATGAAATCCATTACAGCACAACACATTAAAGTTGCAGCAGACAACAGCATTACATAAACCGTGGGTCAGTGGTTAGTTTCTTGCTGATTCTCACAGCGAAAAAAAGACAACTCGTGCAGTCTAATGAGCCTGCATCCCTCGGGCGAGGCGTTCTGGACTTTACAAAAAAAGTGCCTGCATTCTTTAATGAGCCAGGAAACCGGTGGTGATGTGCCAAAGTGAAGTTTACTAAACATTGGTTGACTGAGGATGATGGACGCTTTGACAAATCCCAAATGTGGAACAAGAATCACCATTTTGTTTACAGGAAAAATGGTCTCCTAAAAAATAATGACTTTCAATTATTCAACATCTTACATAAGTTCAAAGTAGGAAACGCTCTATAGTAGGGGCTGCACAGCCACAGGAAGTCTGCCAAATTACAATTTGTTGACTGTTTGTTTTTAGAGTTCATGAATTGGTCGGTGTAAAGAGGAATCGCAGTGATCGTATACTGTGCCATGTTCCTTCCTGCTATGTTCATACTTCCAATTCACCAAGTACGGCAGCTAGATCATTACTCCAGAGCCTTTACATTTAGGTGCTCTTGAGCATCAGTTTTGCACATTCAGGCTTAACAAGTCAAGAGCTAAAACTTCCAAAAATTAATTGGTCAAGTTGGGGTGTATTAACAAGCTCCCCCCTCTCCTCCTGTCTCCACTCGTTGTCCACACATGTTTCATCTGCAAGTGTATTCGAGTCAGTTTTCAGTTTGCCTCTTTTTGTTCTCTTTGAATTGTACTCTTGCCATTGTGCCTCTTAATACAGTGCGTAGGCTTGGCTATCTCTCTCCTCCACTAGGTGGCAGAGCTAATGGTTGGAGAAGGGGTTGCTCACATGAATGAAAGCACAATGAGGTTTATCACCAATCTAAAAGCCCTTACTCACCACTGCTCCTTGTATGCTCGGGTTGGTTGGTCTGCCTTGTCTGCATGTAGACTAAACCACTGGCATATTCTTATTCATAAGGGTTTTTCTCAGTCTGCTTCCATCCTACCTACAGAGCTACATACTTCAAAAAAGTAATGGAAGTTACCATCTTCGCTCGCAGGATTCTTCTAGCCATCACTAAAGCCCGTACTAAATTAGGAAAAAGGGCGTTCAAGTATGCTGCTCCCTCTTCTTGGAATCAGTTGCAAGATGCTTTAAATCTTCAGGAGCTGGTTTCTTTGAATGTTTTTAAAGGTTGTCTTAATGATCTGGAGGCAGAAACATCTGACTGTAGATGTTTTAACTAACTCGTATTGCCCTTTTTGATCGCTTTGTTGCTGATGACTTCTGACAGATTCTGATGAATGGTTCTTATATTTAAGTGTTTTATGTCTGAAACCCTGTAGTTGTGCTGCTGCCTGTCTCGGGCCAGCACGCTCTTGTAAAAGAGATTTTTAATCTCAATAAGAGTTTTTCCTGGTTAAATAAAGGTTAAATACATAAATATAAAACAAATGAAACACGTTTCAGCCTCTGAGCATAACATTATCTTTGTGCCGTCCATGGGAACACAGAGCTGAGAATAACAAATCCAGAGGGAGTTTCACTTCACACTTTTTTAGAAAGTCATTGCTCCACGATCTATTTACATATTCTATGGAACATACAGCAGACATATTAACACTCACTGCATACTGCAGATACTCCCCCCCCCCCCCCCGTTGCAAGAAACATCACATCCTAATGAAAACAAATCTCAGAAGCTGGTTTGGTGTATAAAGCTGCATGGATGTTACACTGCCAAGCATGGCAAACACTTTGTTCATATGAGTGGGGGGGTGTGGTTGTCCGCAACGGTTGACCGAGTCCATGGATAGAGCACACTGCCAGCCAGGCAGCAAGTCACTCCTCTGAATTATTGAAAGAGGTTAGGAAGCAGGAAGAAAACAGCATCTGTATGTGTGTGTGTGTGTGTGTGTGTGTGTGTGTGTGTGTGTGTGTGTGTGTGTGTGTGTGTGTGTGTGTGTGTGTGTGTGTGTGTGTGTGTGTGTGTGTGTGTGTGTGTGCCTGTTTGTGTGTTTGCAATTGTCTGGTGTTGTGTACAGCAGTGCACCGCAGATTCTCAGTTTAAGCTCCCTGCTCTATGCAGGACTGTATAGTGGGCTTTATTGGCTCTGCTTTCTATACATTCCTGAGCTTATGAATAGAAAACAGGAGCAGTGTGAAGTAGCTTTTTCTTTTTTGTACTGACACTTGTAGTGCACATATTGTGTTTTAAAAGCCTTCCTTACTGCTTCAAGGGTTTTCAATCATTTGTAAGAAAAATATAATGTAATCTATAATTTACTGAAAAATATGTGGAACTATCACTGCTATGAAATATTTCTTAAAAAAGACTGTGTTTGCAAGACGCTCCAGAATAGCTCCACTCTATTCTTCTCTTTCAGTATCCTCTTAAACCAAAAAAACAGGCTAGAATGAATAGTGCAGCAGAATAAAGTCCAGAAGCATCCCTGATCCACGATGTGATAAAGAACAGGAATGGAGACAAAGCTTGTAATCTATGCTGCTTCGCTATTTAACACACCAGTGGAGCAGATGTTTCAAAAGTTGCTGCACTTTAGAATGTCTGCATAAAACAATGCACCACTTGCCCCTTTCTGACTCTGAAAAGCAAAACGTGCAATCGGTACGTTCAAAAAAAATAGGGGAACTTTCTGTCGCCAAGCACAAGGGCTGTTTAACAAATGGAGCTGTGGCAAAAATTCAATCCAGAAGACTATGAATATATATATTAGCATATATTCTCCATGCTGGTTTGATTGTTTATTTTTCACACTATGTTGCATAGTATGCATGCTCACTCATATTTTCCCATAGTTCTCAGCTGTTGCCATCCCACATGATCATCCATCCATCCATTATCTTGTGTCTTTGTTTGTAGGGTGCTGGAGCCGATCCCAGCTGTCATGGGGCATTAGGCAGGACTGACATATAGAGACAGACAACCAGACACACTCACACCTACGAGCA